AAAGGTTAGGACTTACTGTTAAGAAGCAGCAATCTCCGAGAACCCACACGCACGGCGAGCCCAACGCCTTTGCACTATGTTCTTTTTTCTTGGCAACAGTCAACCCTACTTTCAGTTCACGGACAATAAATGTACACCAATCGTACACCCTCATGTCCTCAACACTCCCACCTAGGTATGGGGCAAAGTCCAGCTTGCACCTCCGAGAAAATGTTGGCACGAGCATCGAACCAGTAGCTAGCAACAAGAATTGCTTGACAGCAATTGCAACAGGTGGTCTAGCACCGTTGGCTGGAATTGCCAACTCCCGCAGCTGCTTGATAGGAACCATGCGAGCCCTGTTCAGAATCATGCCAACTTCCTCACTGAAACTGTCAAGCATCCCCCCCCCCCCCTCAACGTTCTTCAAATCAATCACAGCCCCACCAAGAGGAAGGTCGTACACACGTGCTACATCCTTAGCTGTGAAGTCGAAGACCTTCTTCAAGTCTCCTTCCCCAAAAACAAAAGTACTGGATGAGGAGTCATAAGCAGCCATCAAGTCGTCCATGAAGACATTGGGTATCTTCGGCATGCGAAGCTCCAATAGGCCCCCGAATCCTGCCTTCTCGACTTCTTTCTTGCATGCTGCATAGTATCCAGCATCTTCTTTCCAGTAGTTTATAATTTTGAAGAGGGAATAGGTGGACCCACGAAATCTGAAATATGAGCCGCAGGAACCCTCTCCCTCATCATCTTCTTCCTCATCTTCCTCCTCACCTTCTGGAATAGCAGGCGGCGGCTACCTTGATTTTTCTCCTTGACGAGATCTCGATGCAACCATTTTCAATCTCTTCATCCCGGGTTGTTCCTGAAACACAGTTATATATTAAGCAAAATATCCATAATCCTTGGACAAATAACTAAAACGCACACTTATATACAATTATTATCGTAGTAAAGCAAAATTGTATCCAAACGAAGATAACTGATATCCATGAAAAAAATATCCATAATACCTAGAAAAATAACTAAAACGAACAGTTAAGTATCAACACTAACAGAACTGATATCCACACATCAGACACATTAGATTATTTTTTTAGCCAATATATACATTTATTATCATAGTAAAGCAAAAGTGTATCCAAACGGAGATAACTGATATCCATGAAAAAAATATCCATAATACCCAGAAAAATAACTAAAACAAGCAGTTAAGTATCCACACTAACAGAACTGATATCCACACATCAGACACATCAGATTATTTTTTTAGCCAATACATACAATTAGTATCGTAGTAAAGCAAAAGTGTATCCAAACGGAGATAACTGATATCCATGAAAAAAATATCCATAATACCAAGAAAAATAACTAAAACGAACAGTTAAGTATCCACCTTAACAGAACTGATATCCACACATCAGACACATCAGATTATTTTTTTTAGCCAATATAACTAATCGAGAAACGAAGTGAGAAATCAAATCTTTGGTGGTTGTTCATCAGGCGGCTGTTGTGATGATCCAGCTGCTTCACGAGATTTCGTTGCAGAATTTGGTGCAACATTTTTGGATTTCTTCCTCACGGGTTGTTCCTGAAACATAGTTAGATATTAAGAAAACTATCCAGTCAATAAAAATATTAAAATGCATCCGACTGCTAATTTTTAGCCAACATAACCAATCGAGAAACGAAGTGAGAATCATACCTTTGGTGGTTGTTCATCCGGCGGCTGCTGTTATGATCCAGCTGCTTCACGAGATTTCGCTGCAGATTTTGGTGCAACAGTTTTGGATTTCTTCCTCACGGGTTGTTCCTGAAACATAGTTAGATATTAAGAAACTATCCAGTCAATAAAAATATTAAAATGCATCCGACTAGTAATTTTTAGCCAACATAACCAATCGAGAAACGGAGTAAGAAATGAAACCTGTGGTTGTTGTTCATCCGGTGGCTGCTTTGATGATCCTTCTCCCTCATTGTTGGGCTTTGAGTTCTTTTTCGGTCTTCCCATTCACTGAAACAATATAAAAAATCATCAGAATAAGTATTAGAAGTGACAAAACTGATATCCATATAACCTTTAATTAAGGAATCGATAAATGATACCCAGATTCAACAAAATCGTATCCAACAAACCCCCAAAATGGAATTCGAGAAACCATAATGAAACAATATATAAAATGACCAGAATAAGTATCGGAAGTGACAAAACTAATATCCATGAAACCTTTAATCAAGGATTGAACAAACAATACCTAGATTCCCCAAAATCGTATCCAACAAACCCCCAAAATGCAATTCGAGAAACCATAAATCTGGTAACTAGAAAAAAAACCAGAGCCCCAAAATTCGAATCCCACAGACCCAGAATCTGGTAATCTAAAAACAAAACCCTAAACCCCATATTCGAATCCATGAAACCCTAAATCTACAAATCGAGAAACGAAACCCTAATCCCCCAAAACGAAACCCTAAACCCCAAATTCGAATCCCACGGACACAATATCTGGTAATCTAGAATCAAAACCCTAAACACCCTAAATCAAATCGCATGAACCATAAATTTTCAAATCCATAAACAAAACCCAGATTTCCACAAAAAAAAAAAAAATCCATCAAATCGAAACCCTAACATAAATTTTCAAATCCACAAACAAAATGAACAATAAAGAGAGGAGAAGTCTTCTACCTCAACGTCTTCTTCTACCTCCCACTATCGGCGGCGGCCTTCTTCGTCGGCGAAGTCGGCGACGTCTTTTTCCTCGTCGGTCGGGATAGCTTCAACGTCGTCGGCGGCGGGAGATGCAACAAGCCGTCGCCGACCTCGCAGCCGGCGTCGCCGTCGCAGCCCTCGTCGCTGTTGGTGGTGGTTTTTGGGAGAAGACGAAAAAGAGAGAGAGAGAGGGGAGAATGGCTGACGCGGGTTGAGCTTGGGTTTTGGGTTTGAAATTTTATGTTTTTGTTTTGTTTTTTTTTTTATTTCTGGCCCCACTTTTCCCAAAAGTGGCTCGGCTTGCCCAAAAAAATCTCCCCCCTCACAGAACAGCGCCGGTGATCCCTGACCCTCCGATGGTGGCTCGACGACGTGGCCCATCTTCCCACACTGTTAGTATTTGCTAACCACTTAAAGGGTTAGCATAATAACGCTATTGCCTACCCCGGCCCCGTCGAAGGAAGCTAAGGATCGTTTTCACTTCTGCAGTTGAAGCCATACCCGGAGTTCTTGCGCCGCCCGACATTAAACAACCGCACCGGCTGCAGCGACCCCCATTCCCGGCTTCCGATTCATGCAATTGCACTATGCCCCGGTAAAATTTTCCCTCTGTCTTTCTTCCAGTAGCCGTGTTGCTTTCTTCTATGTTCCCTTGCTTCATTACCCGCTTCATTATAGTTGAATTTAAGGTTATACTCCATTCTTGGTGGTGGGGATTCGAACAATATAGAATTAACAATGTTAATCGTCTCTAGCTTTGGTTACATTAAAGTTCACTTCAGGGTGTTGCCGTCCTGTTCAGCGTGGAAGTAAAACTTGCTTTCAAATTTAACGGGACCAAATACTGGTACAAAGGTTAATTCTTCATACCTCCTTTTAGCTTTGCAAACTGGGACTTTGTGTGCTTGGTTCTGTAGAGGCCATGATTAAGTATTAATGTAGGAACTGTAAAGTTCTATGCTTGCTCGTGCTCTTATGTGTACAATCAATTCAACTGCTTTTTGAAAGGAGAAGCCAAAAAGTTCATTTTACCTTCTTCTATTGCAGCTCAGCATAAGATTGAGAAAGTTAGCCAAAATCAAAGTAGAAAAGGAGGCATGGCTTAGTGGAGGAGAAGGCAGACTCAGGAAATTCAAATTTTTGGGTTTTCATTTCAATTTGGTTTCTCTTATGCGATGGGTTCGTGTTTGATCGAACTCATGTTCATGGCGTTTCCTGCCTTTCCTAAATATCATACTTGGGGTCTTTGTATTCTATAAAAACCAACTATTTTTATCGATTCTTGCAGTGGGAGAACAATGGAGTAGTTGAGCTTCATAACTTCAGCAATTCAACTAGCAGGGGTCCATTTTCATGAAGATTAGAGCCTTGAACAGCTTAAGTCTGATGCTTTTTTTCTCTCTTGGTGGTGGTGCCAAGATCATCCGAGCTTAATTTCTTAAACTGCAGGTGTGTCTGCGTCATATCTTCTGGGTTTGAATGACTAAACCTATTATCAAGCTGGGGTGTAGAAGAAGCTGGTGTTGGTTAGATGATTGGTTTCCTTTTTGCCAACAGCTTTGTTGGGTTACTTGCTTTGGTTGTTGGTAGGAAGATAAATGCCATTTCTTATTGTTTGTGTTGCCCCATTATTTTGTGTTAGTTGCATGCGCATGGTTGAAAGTGATTTGTTGTGGAACCTGGCAATATATTTTCGTGACTGCAGTTTCACCGTCTCTTCTTCGGGGTATGAGTTATGGTAATTTTTTTTCTGTGAATGACAGCTCTGTCAAGGTCTGCAATTTAGATTGGTGGGTTAATTCTTGCCATCGAGGTTTTCTTATGTAGTGTTTGATTTTCTCCTTTCTTTCAACTTGCTTTCTAATTAATTGGGAAAAGAATTGTTGTCTTCCACTTATCGAGCGCTTTGAATCTAATTATTCTCAATGGCCTCAAACACCTATACCTTCTGAAGGATTTGAGGGTGAGTTTTTGTGGTATACTGAGAAAACTACCCAGCCTGTCAAATTTGGCTTGGTTACGGAAGCTTGAGATTATTGATTGTCCACTCCTCTAAGAAATCAAAGGGCTTGGTGAGGTTGGGGATTTGTCGATTCTACAGATCAGGAGATGTTATCAGTTTAATGGGGTGATGGGGCTCGATAAATTGGAGCCTTTGCAAGAATTGGTGATTACTCATAACTCGTCGATTATGAAGCTGCCTGGTTTATCTGTTTTGGAGCACTTATGGGTTCTGGCCAAGCATATCGATTACAGGTAATAGGTAGCGGACAGAGGTAACTGGGTTTCGAAGATATTGATGGAGTGGGACAACAACAATTCGGATCTGAGAGGCGACGAGGAGGAAGGAAGCTTCGACCTCAACGATGGCGTTGGTACAATCCCTTTCCCTGTCGAGAGCTTGCTTCAAACCGCGCCTTGTGGGTTCGTGGTCACGGATGCTCTTGAGCCTGACCGCCCTATCATCTACGTCAATACCGTATTCGAGATGGTTACTGTGTATCAAGCTGAGGAGGTGCTCGCCGCAACTGGTACATCTTTTCTCTCCCTTTGTTTTGCTAATTCAGAGCTGTGATTTTTGGTTTAGTTCCTCGATTTCACCCTGTTTGTAGGATGGGTTGCGATATTGTTTTCGAGTGTTGTACAATTTACATTTCAGAATTCTATGTATTATTGATAATGGACAGTTTCATATGGGGTGATTTAGAAATGATTAGAGTATCCATTCCATGGCAATTTTATTGTTGGATATAAGGAAGGGATGCTCGGTGTTGAAGGTGTTATTTCAAATCCAACTGTCATTGTTATGCAGATTACCATTAGTATTTCTGCATAGAAATATGGGTTACTATTTGGTTTCACGTGCTTTACTCTCTGTACTCGCATCTATATCCAACATCATGTCGGTACACAGTTTTATCATATTCTTAAGAGTAATTTGAGCGAGTAGTCTGATCGTTCCGATTCTATAATCATAGTGTCGTCTGGCCTGGTCTTTGTAATGGAATTAATTGTTATGCTTGCCATCATGCCATGACTTAGAGAATGCTAAGAAGGAAGAACCAAAACATTAGGCATATGGAGATAGGTGGTGAGTAGTAATGTTGTGTGTGTGTAATGCCTAAAGTGGGGGTCTCCTTGGTCGTAGTGCTCGGATGCTGCGCTAACCGGGTAGTATCTATAGTAGTTGCAGCGGTAGCGGTGGCCAACTTAGACTGAAGTAGGTCCAATGAATCACCGAGCGCCATTCCTCGACCCCGTCTCGCTCTAATCGGCCTGATTCGTGGCTAGAACTGTAATGGAGATGCGGAGCATTGAATCCGAGGCGGATTCAACTAGGGTTTGACGGAAAGAATAGTTTCTTGGTTAGTTGACAAGATGTTGCACCGTCTAGCATTGGAGTTAAATCTCTTCATACATATATAATGTACCACAGAGTTATTTCTGTAGATGAATTGAGCTTTCTTTCCCCATTTACAAAATGTTATTTTTGAATTGTCAATTAGTTAGATTAGAAAAATGTGAGTGTTATTCGTATTTGTTAGTGAATCTATACAAATGTTTAATTTATAAGTTTGGTTTGACAGTTTGCCAGAAAAGTAGAACGAAAATAATTATTTAGAAGCAATAACTCATTTATGTTTCAGTAATTGTTTTGGTGAATTTTTAAATGAGGCACAAAGTCCGTCAACACAATATTGCTAATCTTCTCTATGCTAATGTCCAATTAACTCATGAAGAGTGTTTTATTCATGAGCTGGGCTACTATTGATGATTTCAAATGTCTAAGTAGGATTTTTTCCCCCCAGTAAAATTTGGATTGAACGCCTCTTTTACGTGTAAATACCAGGAGGTGAACTCCTGTCTCCAACTATATAATGAATTATTTTTGTTACTCTTCAGGAGCCAAACAAAAATAATTTTCTTTCGGCATCCAAATTTTAATAAATCGGGATAAGCCTAATATATACAGACTATAAAAAAAAATTAGTAGACTTTTTGCGAAATTAAATCATCTTCGTCATGTACATCAATGAGCTCAACTAAGAAATTCATCCGTCAATCCGACTGGGCTTGTGGAGCGAAACGAGGCCTTTAATTTCTTAAATAATATTTTGGGTTAATACCCTAATTTGGCCTGAAGTTTAGCGTAAATGACAGTTTGGTCTCATTTTTCAAATAAGACAATTATGACCTACTTTTAAAATTATTGGACAAATTTGGTCCGACATTTGAGTTGACCGTGAAAACTGACGGTCAATGATTTTTCCGTTAGTTACTCAACATTTCAAGCTGAAGTGGCGATGATGTGGCATCCGTTTCTCTTAATCGTTATTATTAATTAGAAACAAAATATTGCACATAAAAATAAATATTTGTGTGTTAAAAAAAAATTGAGAGAGGGTCACGAGGACCACATCCCTTCCCCTTATCGTCTTCTCCCCAATTGTTCCCAGGTGCCGCAAAAATAGTCCCGAACATCTTGGGAATTTTTTCCAGAAATATCACTAAAAAGAAAAATAATTCCAAAAATACCACCCATTTCCGAAAAATTTCAAAAATACCACCATTTTCTGAAAACCATTTGGGGGGGGGACGATTTTCGATAAAAACCGCATCGTGACGAGATGGTCTGATAAACCGCGCCGGGGGCAGCGGTTCATATGCAAACTGACTCCCTAAGCATCGGTTCATGTTATTTAGGGGTCGTTTGGAAGTTGCGATTGTTAAATAGATGTATTGTTGAGAATACATGTATAATATTATACATGTATTGTTGAATTTGATGCATTATAGAATACAACGTTTGGTATGTGTGATTGTGTATGTCGCATTAGCTAAAAGCTGAGACAAAACAATCTCAACTATCTCAACAATCACAACTAAAAGTTGAGATATAACAATCACTCAAAATGAGTGATAGTTTCTGTCACATCACAGAAACAATCCATGTATTGTTTCTGCTAAAAAAACAGAAAAACGATGTATTGTAAACAATACATGCATAATAACAATCTCAACAAAACTATCGCAACTTCCAAACGACCCCTTAGATGCATTTGGGGTTTCTTCATTATCTCGCATTTGTCGTTCCTTAAGTTACAAGCATATATATAATAATTAATGTTTATACAGGGGACAACTGTGGTATAGGGTTTGTATATAGGTAAAGTAATAAATTATTAAAAAAAAATCAATATGGGACTTTGTATATAAGTAAAGTAATAAATTAATATTTTGTTGTCATTAACCATAGGGATGAATTACATGTTTGGTCACTCAAATTATAGAATTTTTTAGCGTTTCCCATCTGAATTACTTTTCTGTCTTATTTTCCACTAACTTTACGAATTGTTTCACCATTAGTCACCGGCCGTTACACTCCGTTAAGTTTGTCCTATGTGGCAGTCAACTATAAAGTTAGACCGTTAACTAGATGCAGGGGCGGACCCACGGGTGTTTAGGGGTGTCCCCGGACACCCCTAAATTTTGAGAAAACGATTATCCAACCCCTGGTGGTAATTTACGTATTGACAAAAAAAATTATAATTGATAGTCGTGGACACTCCTAAATCTAAAAAAGTGATTATTCTACTCTCATCTTTTAGTTTGAGTATTAGAATATAAGTGAATGTTTGGGTAATGCAAACCTAGGACACTTTTATTTTAATAAACATAATTTCCATTAGGCTACAACTCATATGTTATTCGATTTTAAACACTGCGTAATAGTATAATGTCATTCTCTATCTCTAATTATTTTCAAAATCTAACAATTAAACAAATTTTAAGCTACCCTTAATTTGTATTGATTTATGGTTGTAGGACAAGTGTTGAAAGAGTATTTTCACCTTTGGATTACATCAAGAACAAGTTTAGAAATCGAATATGTGATCAGTTCGTGAATGATTGTCTAATATGATATATAGAGACAATTTTTTTTGAACAGTGTAGACCCCAAGTCTGTTCTACAATCATTTTTTAATATGAAAACACATCGTGAATTTTTTCAAGTTGTATGACTGTATGAGTAAGATATTTCTTATTTAAATATTATTTTTTTAAATTATTTTTATTTAATTTATTTTTTAAAAGGGGACACCCCTATATAAAATTTCTAGGTCCGCCACTGACTAGATGACGTGGAAATTAAAGAAATTTAAAAATAAATTTATTTTTCCATTTCATCTTTCCACTTACTTTGTCTATATGATTTATCATACTAATTATTTAATTAAACTTAATAAATTGCAAAAAAAAAAAAAAATCAACGGAAGGAAGAAATTGCAGAGGTATCAGCGCCTGGCTCCTGCTCCACGCTCTCGGAGTTCCCCCGATGTACCACATCTCGTTGTAGTCTTAGTTCGCCAGTAGGGAGACCAGATTGTCCGGGAAGAAGACGGTGTCGTCGTCGCCCATCACGAACCACCTGAATCCTGGCGGTTTCAGCCCGAAGCTGTCGGTGATCGTCCACACGATCTGGACGGTGGGTCTGGAGCTGGAGAACCCGAACCGCATTCTTTCTGGGGAGGAGACGCAGGTCGGGCCGTTGGACGTCCTCCAGCCAGACGAAGCTTCAGAGATTTCGATTGTAGCATTTAGCACTTTAACCCCAAACTTTTTTTTTCAAATACGTTTTCCCCTAAAAAGAAGAGGAATTTCTCAATCAATGAGGTTCCGTGAAGAGAACCTTTTATAGAGAAGAGTCCTTCTAAATTCGTCGTCGGTCTCTCTCTTCACGTAATCGCTTTTCGATTGCTTTTGTAGTTCATTGCTACTCCGTAAGCTTCTTGTCAATCAAACTAACGAGTTCTCTTTTTATTTTCTTTCCCCCAATTATAACTATTTTCTTTTCGACTGTTGACGTTCCGGAGTTTGATTCCGATGTTAGGCCGGGGCCTGAACTGGGATTTTCTTATGATAACCTAAATAGAAGTGGGCCATTTCGAATTTGGTCAAATTTTGCGGGTTTTGGAAGAGGTTAGACAACTAACTAGGGTTCTCCTTCTAGAGCTTGGAGATGAGGGAGGACAAGGTTGGACGATGACAATCCAGGTCTCTTCGGCAACGTAGAAAGGTGGAAAATTTTTACGTCCAACCCTAGTTGGAGCTACTAGCTCCAACCAGCCAAATGGCAGACTACTATTGGTTCTTCCACCCCCTTTTTCCCCTTTATTTTTAATGCTTATATTATTGCTTTAAAATTAATAAAATCAAAAATACAATTTGACGGCAGCATACTTTTGACGGAACAGGGCTTTTGACGGAAGGCAGCATAATTTAATTAGGTTATAGTTTTGGATTCAGCGTTTCTCCAATCGTGAACGAAGAAGCAGAAGGCGCACAGCTGAGAAAATTCAATCCCCAGCGGCTGCAGGAAGTAAGGTACGTTGGATTTGATTCGTAACTAAATGGCAGACTACTATAGGTTGTTTAGCGGATGCGCGCTTTGCTATTGATGACTGTTATTTAGAACCTCGACAGTTGCTTACTCCCGTCGACAGCTTCAGTTAGTTCCTTCTTTTTATTAGTCTTTTCATTCTGCATCTCATCATAATTAAGCAATGGCAGTGT